GTAGCACACTCACCTTCAACCTGGATAAATTGCTGTCTCAACACCTCATGCTTCTCTCTACGGACTCTGGCAAGCTACAGCTACTCAGTTCGTAGTATGATTCGAGGCAATACAATTCAGTGCACATAAGGCCGTAGTGTCGTTTGATGTCACCGTCCTCTTCACCTCAATCCCACAGGAGCTGACAGTTGCTGCCCGAGAGCCAGTAAGAGGAGGCACGTGGGTTGCTCTGGTGCGGAAGAGGCGACTTATTTAGCCTCTCAACATTTTCTCTTTAGATTCGCTTTCCTTCACAGAGTGTTTGCATATGTGCAAGTGAAAGCGTATAGTGAGGTCGTTGCTGTTGATTTTCGTGGGAGGCTGAGGGAGGCAGTTCCCAAACCCGCAAGCTCAACTTTTTTAACTTGATATGCCAACGCTACGGGTGAAAATAGGAATCTTAGGAAGTAGTCGAAGCAATTGTGGAAATGCGATCTCTCGAACAAGAGTTGTTTGCCCGGCATTTCGGAATCACAATCAAATCCATCGTCACAGGCAGAATCACGTGAAGGCAGTGTTATTCGCTAGTTTTGCAATATTTATAGGATGCAGTTGCCCTGACACAGCATGCTTATCAGAATTACCCGATCGCACACTCATCGCGGATGTTTGTGTTTGGTGCACCTTATGCGTAGGCAATATCTTTGCTGATTATACTTATCGGCACGCGAAGTGCTTGGAAATGCCCCAGACTGGAAGCATTTGCCAATCCTACTGGGTTTTGGTGAATTCTATATCTTTAGCGTACTATAGACTACGCCGCATTTTATGTTGCTCCCTTTTAGGCACTTACTGGTTCTCCATGCTAGCCTGGGATGCGTTAACCTACGCCACCGCCAGTCTCTGTGCGTTCTTCGTCTTCCTTCTCTTCAATATTCCACCCTTTGCACGAGGTGGTCAGCTGTGGTTAATTGGCCTCCTACTCACTGCTTTTGGCTGGGCTGTGATCCCCGAGATGTACGTCCTCTCGGTCCTCTTCAGCACCCCCACCTCCGGCCTCATCTGGCTCGGTGCACTCAATATCTTCTCTGGTAAGTTAGTCAGCCCATATTGGTTGACCATAAAAGTAGTGAGGTGATGGCAATAGTGCAGTAAACTAGAACTGGCGGACTTTCACATATTTTCTGTACTCCGGTTGTACTAAGCCTTCAGAATGTCCTCGTTTTTTCTCCAGATATAGTATACAGATTTGCACTGCGTGTGGTGTTATACTTGCAATAAGCGGCCTACCTCGTGTATTTCTACGGAATAAGCCTACGTACAAACGCCAACAATGGGTGTATGGAATTGTGGAGTTTTTTGATAGGCAAGCGCCGAAATCGCAAACTCTGGTGTAGGCGAAGTTGTGTCCCGTATGCAGAGTGTACATAATTATCCAGAAAAGGCAGTCTGGCCCCATCACTGAATTGTGCATTCTTTAGTAACAAGAATTGTTTTCTGCCCATTGTATGCGTTTTCTTTTTAGTATGACAAGTCCGTTTAGTTTCGACACTGGTTCCACCGATAAGTAGATGACCTTTTTAAGGTTTCCAAATGTCATTCATAATGCACTATTTGCGCCGAAGAGTGTCCACTGTATGCTATCACTCAATTTACATTGGCTTGTGTTTCTTTAACTTCGTCTTGGATTACTTGGTACATGGATGGGTACATGATCCATTTGGGTTTATGGCTTTGAGAAGTTATCGGATTGATAGGCGCCAACAATGCAAACTTTGGCACAGTTGAAGGTATGCCTGATTTTTGTTGCGTCCTTAGCACTTGCCACTCGTGTATGATTGCACAGGTGAATTTCTATTACGACCACAATGTACTGCACTACAAACATCGCATGTTCTTTTGCAGTCTTCCCCTTTCCGCTTCAAATAGCCAGCCTTCTCCTTAGTTTGTACAAACTTGGCACGTCGTGTAGTCGTTAGTTTACGCGCTATCTGTATGTGATGATTTCAACGATTCCTGACCTAATGTAGCGAAGGGTTCCCTTGATTGAAATCATCTTTTCTTTGGTTTCTGTTGTCGTAAGTCGGCGCATGAAATCTGCCTCTGCGCTATTTTATCACCTTTTTACTTTCTCTTACCCTGTTTTCATTTTATCGATTTTAGAATGCTTTTCTTGCCAGCTGTGTTTGTCGTTTAAACGCCTCCATTTTTAACGATGTTCTTTTCCGTCACTTCATCAGGCATAATAGGAATGTTGATAGTTGAATCGCTCTGCCTACCAATGATTCATCAGCAGCTGCTGGCCTTGTACATTCGCAAGGTGCTGATCTTCTTATCACCGGCCTACGCTCTCACAGATGCCATATTTTCAGTCCACACAAACTTTGAGTACACTCGTCTCTGCGCTGCTCCCGAAGTCCAGTCCTTTTGTTTGCTGCTCCCTCAGCTGCCCTGCTGTCTTCGTGAGTTTTGTTATGTTTGCATTTTTGGTGAAGGTACACCAAATTTCTACAAGCATTGCGCACAGCTTCGGAAAAGCTTTTCCTTCATTAGGTCATTAGGTTTCTGTAGTTTTTTATTTCATCAGAAATTGATCTTTATCTACCAGAAAGTACACAAGAAATGCTGGGGGGCCCATGGACGACGCGAGCCCCTCGCAGTTGTGTCATACAGTCACAGAAAATAGTCGAAACATGTGTCTGGGCTTTAAGCTAGTACATCTGCTGCCAGTATGGTAAATAATTACGTAGTTTACACTACTAACTATTTGTTTGCAGTTTTTGAATATTCCGCGATTATGCCGCAGTGGCTAATGAACTTGGGCGCAAAATGTCATATCAAATTTCAGGCTATGCCTTTAGACCCTCTGATATACCGATTTACTCTGAGTTAGGAAAGAAATCCTTCGGAAGTAAATAAAAACACCAACTTGGGAACTGAGTATCTATCAAATTTGCACTGTTTGAGTAGCCATTTTTTGCAGAATATGCTTTATGCAGGTGGTTAGAAAGAAGCTCTGCGTCCCGACGTAACTGAACTATATTGAGGTTAGCCTGCACAATAACCAATATTACAAACCTTTTTAAGTAATTTGTTCAAATCGAAAACACCTTTCCCGATTTCGGTTGATATTTCATCAGATAGGAAATCTGCTGTATGTGTATAGATGTAGAGGGAGTACAGACAAAGACAAGAGAGACTGGGATGGTGACTTCCAGCTTATTTGCTGTAATCAGCCAGCCGTATCCCATTCCAGTTTTGAATGAACTCGGATTCGAACCCCGGCCCTTTGGCCATTGAGCACTAAGTAGTCTAACGCTCTATCATTGTGTCGGCCCATTGTTCGGTTGGTGGTGACGGGAAATGTTAGCTATCATAAAAAGGGGCGATCAGGTTACGGGAGGGCGCGATCTAACCGTCTTAGTTCTGGCTGACATATAGTAAAGTAATATGCTACTTTTTGTGTCTGTAGTAGGCATTTCTTTTTCATTTTAGAGACCTGTGATCCATACTGTGCGTACTACACGGACAACGTCCTAGCCTTCACAACCGCCGGAATTGGCAAGCATTTGGTTGCAATGGCCGTTCAAGGCCTCGTATTTGGCTTTTTCGTACTTGTTGCCGACACAGTCGTCGCTCGACGCCTCTGGATTACCCTCAAGTCCTGTTAGTTTGACGACCTCAGCGTACATTTTATCCATTTCTCAACTGAATTTTGCGCTTATAATCATGGTATCCAACAGGCTTACACCGTCGTTCAAATGTGGACTTCATACTTGACTTGACCTTGTGTTTGGCATACATAAGAAGTTTTGGCGATGGTATGGCATGTAGCGCCATCTATTCGTTGTTGTATAACTTGCCTCCTTCGTTTATTTAAGTAGGTGTCTCTTAAACATTAGCAGTATGGCAACATTGATATTATGTGTTAAGGTTAGAGCGACTATTAGTAACTTTTGGTTGCAGGTTTTTAACGATTGAGTTTTAAAATAAGGATTAGGCGTAGAGTCCTAGGGTAAAGTTTAGGGTTATGGTTAGAAGTAATGGTTATGGGTTAAGACTAATGTCTGGACTTTAAGGTTAGATTTAAGGAAGAAGGCAGGGATTAGCGTTTTAAGATTAGTCTTAATAGTTAAAGCTATAATACGGAACCAAGCATAAGGGGTCCTATGTTGACTGCTGATGTTTATTTACTGTTTGTTTACGTGATATTCTCTTCATTTTTCCTTATTTTTCGTTTTTCCCTGTACCTTTTTATATGTTCTGCTTCGATTGTGTTTTCAATGTGTCTTTTGAATTCTTTGCTACTTTGGTTGTCCTTAAATCAATATCGATTTGACGTCTGTCTATGATTGTGCGAATTCCGTTTTTTAACCGCCCAATGAAAGGTCATGCGCGTAATTTAATATGAAAAAAGACGAAATTGGCTGATTTGCCTAAGCATAAGCATGTGATAAACCAAACTCAAGGTGTATTAGCAAGTGCACTTTTTGGCATTCCTTCACTGATAATGCTGTCCACCGTTTACGGCAGAACACACCCTAATTTGGTGTTATCTTTGTAGGTATTTTGTTCAGCTTTTTCCGACAATCCAGCACAAGTGGGCCGTTGCGGTACTTGGCTGCGCAAACAGATGACGAAGATGTGCTGTTTCATCGACAGGAAGTTGAATCCTCGTCCACTGATAGCCTGCGAAAAGACTCAAGGTAAACCCTCTCTTGCCAATGCAATTAGAAGTGTGTACCTGTTTCCTGATGATGCCGCTTCCACATGTTTTTTCTTTTTAGCAAGCGATTTTCTCCACCGCACCTGCATGTACTAAGTAAAAAATAAAACCAATTCATGTACTGCCCACTAACCAGACTGCCGCTGCATTATTTAATGAATTTCTACAGTGACTGCATTTCGAAACTGAGTCGAGTTATTTAGGAGCGGAGAGAGTTTATTGTGTTAATTTTCCAGTCGGATTTGCCAGTTCGTTGTGTGCCGACTAGTGGAGAAGCTACTGGCTTTGTCATTGGTGCCAGCTGTGTCACTGGATTGTGTTCCTAATAAAAATATTTTATAACCTTGGGTGTGCCTGCGTCGACACTGGTTATATCCCCATTTGTATGTTAGGAAGGGAAGGTTGACGGGATAGCAGATAATACTTTACTGTCACTGTTTCTGCTTGTACATCAACTCTGTCTTCTGTGTGTACGTCAGCAGCGTGTCTTCTGTCGTTGGTCCCGTCTCGGCAGCAGAGTCCCGTCTCGCCAGCAGCAGAATCTCGTGTTCCCAGCAGCAGAGTGCCGCCTCGTGTCGGTGGCAGCGTATTTAAGGA